ATTGGCGCCGCCCAGGCGGCGGAGGCGGGGACGGGGACGGCGGGGTAGCGACTAGGGTCCCACGTAGCAGAGAGGGAGGGCCTCTGTTGATGCACCGTCGCCACCTCCGACGTGGCGTTGTCAGGCCCTTTTCGGCGTCCCACGTCTCTCAGCAGCGCCCGCTGCATGCAGAGCCGGGGAGAACGAGCATGCAAGACCACCTTGCGGCTCTTGTGTTGGAGTGTGACCGTAACGCCTCACGGCCCTTCAACGGCTGCATCCGCGCTGCAGCCCTTACTGCAGTTGGGGCGGCCTTGTGGGCCCTCACGTTTGGCTGGAACGTCAGCAAACCCGTGATGGATGCCTATGCGAGGACGCAGACAAAGGGCTCCTGGGAGCAGGAAGACGAAGAGGAATGAAAGAAGCGGGATAATGTGGATGTAAAAACAAAAACAAAAAACTAGCCTTCACGCAAATAAAGGGCGGGCTCCACGGCGAGGCATCACACTCTTTGCGTAGAAAGGGATAAGGAGAAGAAGAGGAATGTGCCTAGTTCTTACTCTCAAAAGTGTGCTATATCCTCTGGCATTGTGTCTATTCTCCCCCTCTTTGTGTAACTGCACTTGCATGCGTGTGATTGCCTGCGTGCTTCTCATTCTCCGTGTTGAATGCCGCGCAAAGGGGACTTTATTAGCGTCGTTTTCTCTGCAGGAAGCCCAAGGCCTTGTTATGCGTCATGAAACGTCAACCGGCTGAGGCGACACTGCCGTCAAAGACTTCGCTGGTCCGCGAGAAATCAAAACTTGTTTCTCTTCCTTCTACACGTTCTTCTTCAAGCACGCGGACACTTCTCACGCCCGCAGGGATGTTCACGCCCCAAGTCACCACCAAAGTGGGTCTCAATGTGGTACCCCATGCGGACAGTCTTGCAGTGGGTCACGTATATAAGCGGAACTGGTCTCAGGTAGTTCTTGGCTCCACTAGCGGCCTTATGCTCATTATGGTGCTTGCCATGTTGTACTCGCTGTATGTATTGTGCCTTCCGTACGGGGACAGCATTAGCTTCGGCATTTTGCTCTCTGTCGTGCTGCATCCAAAAAGCAATCTGGAGTACTCCGCTTCCTGTTCCGCAAGGCGAAGGTGTGTGGAGAAGATGCGGCGGCTGCACCAGGAATGGGCGTCTCGCTCCACACTCTCTGGCGTGGTTGGATCCCTGCTCTCGCTAGGCTACTTTTTCATGTACGCCTCCATGCAGGGTGTGATGTTTCTGGGCCTCAACAAACTCTTCTTGGGGTCCCAACGGAGACGGAATGGTGCTGGCTGTGCCGGGAAGGCCAAGCACGGGACTGTTGCGCAGGATGCATTTCACGTCTCCACCCCCGTGGAGCGGGCGTTTCTGCGTTTGCTTACGGTGGGCATCTTGGTCGTCGTCGCTCACTCCACGATTGGCTGCTTCTTCTTTTTTCAATTGCACGCTGTGCTGCTAGCTGTGTTTGCCCTCGCCGTTGTGGTGCTGCCGGAGGAACGCTTTGCTGCTGTGATGTGGCGCCTCTGGCGCACCGCGCTTGTCCTCTTCTTTGTGGTGGCCCTCTCGTACAACATGGCGCTCGACGTCCTCTCCGTCAGCGACGCGGTGAAGCGGGCGACCTCGGCCGTCGTGCACGCCAGGCACCGCTGGTCCAACGGCAGGACGTCTGCGTTGGCTGTGGGCAACACGTCAGTTGCCGACACGGCGGAGGTGAGGAATTCGTCCACCGCTGGAATTGAGGAGATGATTGTGACGAAGCTCCAACAGACGGTGCTGAAGGAGCTCGCCGACACCCTCAAGCATTCAAACGCAACAGAGCTGGCCGTCGCTGTGCGTCAGTTTATTTCCCCCCTTCTGACGACGTTCCCATCGGAACTGAGTATTGGCTCGCTGCAAAATAAAAGCAGGGAGGTCTATACCTCCCTCTTCCAGCGTGGCGGTCCACTGCGCAAGGTGGACTGGGTCAGTGTGTTGCAGAACTCACTGCAGCGTTGGCGACCCGTGGTTATTTCTCTAACTCAACTTCTGTTTGAATTAGGGTCGAACATGATGGGGTTGTTTGACTCGGTGTATGCGGGCATCTTATTTGTCTGTGTGCTTCGCTACTTCCTGCAGCTGGAGCACACGATTCTCTACTACGTGGTCGCCAAGATGCTCCGCGTTATTCACCCGCGCGACGGTGAGCGACACGCACGCATTATAGAGCGTGAAATCACCGTCTCCTTTCGGACCCTTCTGCAGTCCTTTTGGCATCTCTCATGGTTTCACTTCTGCATTACTTTTTGTCTCTTCAGTGCCTGGTCGTTCCCAACCCCGTTCTTCTTTGGGGCAGTGTCCACCCTCACCGCCGTGTTCCCACTCACACCGAAGTGGATCTCGCCCGTCGCCTGCGCGTTTGGGTTTGTTCTCTTTAACGCCGTAAGTACCTATGGGTTTCTCGGCGCCGTCGTGGATCGGCGTGTGTGGAGCTGCCTCCTCGCGTTTTTGGCGTCGTACTTGGATGAGTGGCTGCTCTGCGTTTCGCGTGGGTTGCGGGGAGACTCATTGAAGGACGCCGCAGGGGTGGAGCGGGAGCAGCTGCCAACGTTTGTCATCGGCACGGCCGTCGTGCTTGGCTATGTGCGCTACGGGGTGCGTGGGATTCTGCTTGGGCCCATGACCGTCATTGTGGCGAAGGTGCTGTTTGACAACTGGGACATGGTCACGGCGTGCGAGACGCCGCCTCCTGAACTGCGGGGCACTACGGAAGAGAAACCGACGGCACGACACCCACGAGAGGCGTGACGTGTGCGTTTTCTGAAACCAACGGAAGCATTTTGGTGGCGGTGGGTGTGGGGAGGAAGCGGAGACGGCGGCGAAGCAGGGAGATATATGCTTTAATTCGTGGCCCCGTCTCTCTTTTAATGCTTTGCCTTTTTCTGTGTACGGTTTCTTGTTGTTGTTGTTCCCCTCCCCCCCCCCCCCTGTGCGTGAGGGTCGGCTTCGGCTGGCTATGAGTACTGGCCCACAGCGACGAGGGCCACGGCGGGGCGGAGAGGGAGGGGCGTAAAGAGATTAATAGATGCCAGCAAGGCATCATGGGTGTTGTGCGGGCCTCCACCGCGGCACTTTCACGGGGACGTCACACCCCAGTGTGTGACTACCGACAGCATATCTTCAACGCCGGTGTCTATGCTCTCTTTGCTGCACTCATACGAGAGGTTGGCGGAGGACCTTTGCTGCCGGGCTTGCTTCACGTACATGCAAAGCAAATTTTGCTTTCCTTCTCTTTTTCTGGACTACGTTTTTTTTTTCGTTTGTGTGCTTGCGTTGATTTCCCCATTTCTTTTTGGTAGCGCATTTGGGGGGGGGGAGAAGAAATGCGCGGTCAACGCCTTGTGCTTGGTGGGCTTGATGCGACGCTGTTGCTTGACGCCTACCGCCGTGGCCGCGCCTCCGGCGACGCCCCCCGTGTCGTGGGAGGGGTGGGGGGCGTCAAGCCAACTCTGCTTGTCAGCGCGTGTCTGCTCGGGCAGTGTGTGACGTATCGTGGGGGGAGCTGCGCCACGCCGCAGCATCGTCGCACGCCCATCGGTTTTATTGTGGACTGTCTGTGGCGTGAGTACCGCCTTGTGGAGTGTCTTCCCATCTGCCCAGAGGTGGACCTGCTCGCAATGCCGTCACCGCGGCCGCCGCTGCGATTGGTGAAGGAGTCCCGTGACGAACCTCGCCGACTCGTGACGGCGCCGCCAGCCGTGTCGAGGCACGTGCCGCCCGCACCCGGCACGTGGCGTGACGAGGGAAATGAAGCGAAGAGGCGCCTGGCGCAACGCCATCCACGTCTGGCGGAGGAGTTGCTGGTACGGCGGTTGGCGGGCATAGACGGGTGTGTCTTCAAGTCGCGGTCGCCCAGCTGCGGAGTGCGGGACGCGCGCCTCTACTTTGCGGAGCGCGGCGGAGACTACGAGGAGGTGGACGGCTTCTTCGTTGGCGGGTGGGTGCGCCCCGCTGCCGCCGCCGCCGCCGCGCCGCCTCTGCCGCTGACGACGGAGCGTCAGTTGTGCTTTGGCGAGGCCACCTCCTCGTCTTGTGGGGCGTGGTCGGGCCGCAAGGAGGCAGTGCTGTCGTTTGTTGCGGATGTTTTGGCCCGTTTTGAGGCCCGGCATCGTGCAGCGGCGTCTTTCCCTTTTCTTTGAATGGAGGTCGCCGTGCCTTGTTGTTGTTGGTGCCGTTCTGCTGCTGCTGCTGCTGCTGCTTCACTGTTTGCTCCCAATTTTGTTGCGAATGTGTGTGTCTGTGTGCGCCGCCATCCTGCGCCTGCGACTTCCCTTCTCTCCTTCACTCTGTGGCAAAACAACCACGACCCCAGAGGTGTAACAAGAAAGCAAGACGAAGGGCTTCAGCGCGTAGCTTCTCTGAGCGTGTGGGGGAATGACGTACAACACCCCCGCTTGGAATGAGGAGTTTGGGGTGTTGAAGCAAATGCAGGAGGACCGCATGAACTTCTCCAACAGCATGGCCTGCCATGAGCGCTGCGTCTCGCACTACTGGTTCAACGACTTCTACGGCGGGGAATACAAGTGCATGCGCAACTGCCTGGAGAAGCTGAACCAGGTGAGCATCATCACAAACATTAACTTCAACAAGTATGAACAGGAGAAGGCGGCACGGAAGCGTAAGTAGTGCACGGAGACTCACGCCGCCTTGAGGGGGGGGGCGGTGGTGGGAAAATACGACGCTTTTTGTTTCCGTTTTCCTTTTTGTCGCTTCCCCGCCTCAACGTACACGCACACACGCCTCTTCTGCCGTCGTTTTTCTTTTTTTCCCCCCCGTAACGCCTTTTTTAAAGCCCCGGGTTGGAGGGGGTGGGTGGAGCGACGGTGGCCGCCGCCTCGGCTCACATGCGGCGGCGTGCCCGTCACCGGGCTCCCCGTGCCTGCGCCCGCGCAACCCCCTGCGGCGGATGACGTGTGTGTTCTGCCTCCCCCTTACTTCCCTCTCTCCTGCCCTCTCTCCCTCTCTCCCTCACTCTCTCCCTCTCTCACACTATTTCTTTCTCATTCTCTCACTCTCTCTCTCTTTTGTGCCGCGTTGGCGCATCCGTTCTGCGCTGGGCTCCTTATTCCCCCTCCCGGTTCTCTGTGGGAGTGCCCAGTGAGGGGAACGAGCGAGCGTGGGTAAGCCGGCGACAGCGCGAGGGGAGGCGAGGGGTGTGTGCATTGAGGAAGGCCGCTGCGGCGAACACACTTTGCGCAAGGAGGCGACACGGGAAGGGGAGACCGGGTAGAAGAAGAGCGAAGATGGTGCTGGCAGAGCTCGGGCAGAAGATCGGGGCGGCGATCTCCAAGATGTCGTCAAAGCCGCTCTTGGGCGAGGACGACGTGAAGGAGCTGCTAAACGACGTGGCACGGGCGCTGCTTCAGGCCGACGTGCACGTGACGACGGTGAAGGAGCTGCAGCAGACAGTACGCGCCGAGGTCGCCATCACGTCAGAGGCGGTGGGGCTTAACAAGCGGAAGATACTGCAGACCGCCGTGTTCAACGGCCTTAAGAAGATCCTCGACCCGGGCGTCAAGCCCTTCATGCCTGTGAAAGGGAAAAAAAACGTTGTCATGTTTGTCGGCCTTCAGGGGTCTGGCAAGACGACGTCCTGCACAAAGTATGCGGCGTACTTTCAACGCAAGGGTCTCAAGACGGCACTGGTATGCGCCGACACTTTCCGTGCTGGGGCTTACGACCAGCTGCGGCAGAATGCCACCAAGGCGAAGATTCGCTTCTACGGCTCTCTCACCGAGGCCGACCCTGTCATTATCGCCAAGGAGGGTGTGACGGAGCTGGAGAAGGAGAAGTATGACCTCATCATCATTGACACCAGCGGCCGCCACAAGCAGGAGTCTGCCCTCTTTGACGAGATGAAGCAGGTGCAGGAGGCGGTGAAGCCGAACGACATTGTCTTTGTCATGAGCGCCACAGACGGGCAGGGGATTCGCGAGCAGGCTCGACAGTTTAAGGAGAAGGTGCCGGTTGGCTCCGTGATTGTCACAAAGCTTGACGGGCATGCAAAGGGCGGTGGGGCGCTGGCGGCTGTTGCCATGACAAAGAGTCCCATCGTCTTTATTGGCACAGGCGAGCACTTTGACGACTTTGAACTATTTCAACCAGAGAGCTTTGTGAGTCGCATGCTAGGCATGGGGGACATGCGGGCTTTGATGGACACGATGAAGGATGCCAACATCAACAGCGATAGTGAGCTTTACAAGCGATTTCAGGATGGCCAGTTTACGATGCGGGACATGTATGAGCATCTGCAGAATGTGCTAAAAATGGGCTCCATGAGCAAGATCTTGAACATGATCCCCGGCATGTCGGCTCTCAGCGGGGCCGCTGGCGAGCTCGGGGACGTGACGCTGAAGGCCTTTATTCACATCATGGACAGCATGACGGCCGCGGAGCTGGATGACGCGCGTGTGAAGAAGACCATGACCCCCTCCCGTATTCTCCGCGTCGCCCGAGGCAGCGGGCATACGCTCCTTGAGGTGCAGAACCTCATTACTAGCTACACGAAGTTCGAGGAGGTGGTAAAGAAGATGGGCAAAATGAACTTCAAGGCCATGACGCAAGATCCTGGCAGTATGCTCTCAGGGCGCATGGGGCAGCAGCAGATGACGCAGCTGGCAAAGGCGCTTAGTCCGGCGATGCTGCGGCAGATGGGTGGGTTTCTGGGCTGCAAGGCATGATGAAGCAGCTGCAAAACTTGAAGTAGACCACAGTCTTCTCCCGCGTGAGGGCGACAACAAAGAGGCAGACACAATCAAGGAGGAAAAAAAGCGGGAGTAAAGAGAGAAGAAACCGCGGCACTCCACAAAAGGCTGACGGCGAAGATGCGGAGGGTGGGTCGCGTAAGACTCCTTCATACCACAGGCATGTCCCCACGTGAGCATACATACACATGTAATATCTAACACACACATATATATATAATGTACGTGTGTTTGTGTCTATCTCTCACTGATCACACGCCTGCGGCGCGGGGTTTGACGCCGTGGTGTACTAAAGCCGGTCGAAGGGCACGGAGGAGCGTGCGGTACTCGCGTGCATGCTGGCACACGTGCACTCTAACAGCCTCTTTGAAGCCACAACGTATTTCTCTCTCTCTCTCTAACTGTGTGTGTGTGTGTGTTGGTTTTGCCGCCTCCCTCTTTCACTCTCTAAAAAGACTTGCGCGGGGAGGGGGCCCGCAATCCAGAAAAGAAGAAAACAAAGCAACGACACAAGAAAAGGAATGGAGACACTACTGAGCGACAGTAATACAAAAAAGGGGGCAAAAACATCGACGCGCCCATTTACTCTCAGTGCAACATCTCAGCGTTTCGTTTCGGTGGGGTTGCAAGGACGGCGGCGAATGACATCTGCACCGGCGCTTACCGGTGGCTTTGCTTTTGTACTTCCTCTTTCCCTTCTTCTTCTTCCTGCTTTCCCCCCTCCCCCCCACTCTTACGCACAGACGCGAGGGGGCGAAACCGCGTGGACCACTAGAAATCAGAGGTTTCATCCTCAGCCACTCACTGGGAAGGCGTGTGTGCGGCCGCAATGTCACTGGCGGCGCCCCACGAAGCCTCAGAAAAGACTTCAGCGGCCGCGCGTGTGATGCTCGGCGATGTCACGAACACTGCAGGCGGGAAGTCGGCCGGCGCCGGGCGTAGGCCCCTGTGCGGCGCTCAATTTAGCGTGCGAAGAGACCTCGTGGCTGCGGCGGCGCCATTGATGGCTGCGGCGGAGCAAAGAAAGTTGCAGACCCCGCGAACGAACGAGCCCACGGGGCAGGCCGCGGAGAGCGGCCAAAAAGGCGGCGGCGTGGTGGCGGGGGGCCAATGCAGCAACGCCAGGCGCATTGCCCTCTCGGCGGAGAAAGCGGTCTCCCCACAAAAGTGGATGCAGCGCCCACTGAAGTTCCTTCGGAAGTATTTCTTTCTGAAGCGCCTCAACGCCCTGCCCTCCACCCCGGAGGATAAGAAGCGTTCGACGTCGGCCCAGTTCCGCCGTCTGCACGTGTGCGCGTCGATCAAAGGCGGTGTTGCCTCTGGACGGCCGCCGCCTCCGCCTCCGCCGACTTTGACCGAGGGCGGTGAGGAGCATGCAGCGCGTCGCTTTGTGCGCTCACGCTGTTTTGCTGCTCCGACGTCGCGCGTCCTTTTTGCGGCAAAAACGTCGCCCACTGGAGATTCCGGGCGCAGCGATGGAGGTGGCAGCGGCGTCAGTGCGACTGCCAAGGTGAGTATCTCCCGCTATGATTCCGCGAATTTGCAAGCGTGTGAAGGAGAGCTGTCAGTTCTCGTGGGCAGGCAACTGGGCGGGAATGTGGATCCACCTCCCCTCACGGGCAGGGAGACGGATGGCGGGAGTGAGGCGGCGGCGGAGGCGCCCCCACCGAATCCGACCGCGGGTCACCAAAGCCACTCCCATAGTCGCTCGGCGATTGGGGAAGCGGCTTCGCAGACGGATGGTGTTGATCTCAGCACCATCTTGCCCATTGGCGATGAGGAGGTGCTCGTTCAGTTGGAGGGGCTCACGACTCCTGTGCGGCAGCCCGTGTTGACCTTGGATGAGGGCAAAGCTGCTCCTACGCCAGAGAAAGGCACGACAGAAAAGATGTGTGCTGAACTCTGCACGCTTGGAGACGTGGCTAGAGACTTCACGCCACAGCCCTCCAGCCTGCTGGAAAGGGCCGGTATCCTTACTGCAGGGAATATTAACCACGCAATGATGTCCTTCGCAGTCTATCACTGCCGTAACCTGGATGAGTCGTCTCATGCCTTTGAAGGGTTTCTTTTAAGACACTTTCTGGAACAGTTCAAAGTGTACGAGACAGCTGTATTAGAGGCGGCCTTTGTGGCGGGGTATACCCACATGGTCGCGGTCCCAATGATGAAACTGTTGGAGATGGGCGATCGACGCGTTCTGTGCATGAAAAGAGATATTTACATCAGAGGCCTGATTGAGCGCTTTGTCTTGGAGCAGCCAGGGACACGTAGAAGCAAACTCCCTGCGTGCCTTCGCCCCGCTGCCCGTCGGCGCGAGAGTCGTCGACGCCGGCCGGCGCGGCAGGGCGAGGCTCCGGCCATCCGTCAGGCGGGCCGCAGCAAGTCCACTCGTGGCGAGCGGAGACAGCCGGGCAGCGACGGGTACGAGGTACACATCATGGGGAAGGGCGCGGGAGCCAGCCGTGGAGCAGCAGCTGCCGCCTCCAATCTGCTGCCGAAGACGCCGCCAAAGCCCCCTAGACTGCACGTCTTCAGAGCGGTCCAGCCGGTGCAGAGAAAGCGCACACCGAAGCGTTCACCAAGAGAGGAGGAGCTGATGGACATCGTGAAACTCGTCTCGTCGTAACAACTTCGCTGGCCGGGGCGGGAAAAGCGCGGCTCTGCGGCACTCTCGCAGCTTGTGCGCGCTGCGTCTGACGCGACGACCAGCGCACACGTCCTTATCTATAGAAGCACAGGGGGGGTAGACTCGGAGACTGGGCATCGGCGGCCACCGCGGCGGCTGCTGGTGATGCAGGAAGAGGATAGAGACGACACAACCATCAACAACACGAGAGAAACGGATAAAAAGGGAAAAGAGTAAAAATGATCCAATAAAATGAAAAGGTCGTGGGTAGTTGGGGGACTGCGGCTGTCACACGTCGCGGTTGGTACCCCCCCCTGTCTTTTTTTTTCTTTGGTGCGTTGTAGGCACAATGACAAAAACAAGAGTAAAAGGAAATACAGAAGAAAACAAAAAACTTGTGTACTTTTTTTGGCCCCTAGTTTTTCTCACAATCGTGCCGTATGTTATTACTTCCCACTAGATGTTGGTTTTTTTTTGCCTCTTTTTCTCCTCTTTGCTTTGGGTTTTAAATTCTTTTGTTTGTGTGTGTCTCAGTCTTTTGCTGTTCTTTTTTATCACATTTTTTTATTTACTGATTGTTTTTCCTCCGCCCTCGTCCGCCTGTCTGTGTCTGTGTCTGTGTGTGTGGTGTTTGTTTGTTGCTTGCCCCTCCCATCCACAGGTGCCAGCCCCGGAGGAGGAGGTGACCGCCGTGATTGTTCTCAACGCCGTCATCTCTTTTTTTTTTTTTTCGTTGGTTTGGAGGTGGGGGGGGGGTTGTGTACACGTTTTTTTTATTATTATTATTTATACAACCTCCATGCATGCGCGGTTGGTCCTCCTTTTTCTCCTTTTTGCGCTTTCCCGTGAGCCTTGGGGGAAGGATAGCCGGGGAGTAGAACATGTCGCGCGCTGACCGCGTTGTCATCTTTTTGGACATCGACGGCGTCCTGCTCCCCGTGCCTCGCTTCACCTTCGGCGGCGGCGACCTCTGCGCCCAGAGCGTCCGTCTTCTCCAGCAGATCGTCAACGGCTGTGGCGGGGCGGAGAAGGTGACCCTTATCCTCTCCTCCACCTGGCGCAACTTCCCCGAGCAGGTGCGGCGGCTGAATGCGTTTGTGGAGAAGACGGTGGGGGGTGGCGTGCCGGCGGTTGCGGGGGGCACGCCGAACGGGACACCCAAAACTACCGTCGTCACGTACTACCCGGACGATGCGTCGGAGCGGCGGCTCGTGCGGGACCGCGTGGATGAGGTGACGAGGTGGATTCACACACACGTGCGGGAACACCCGGAGGCTATTGGCGGCCGCTGGTTCGCGATAGACGACATGCAGCTGGACGTGGACGACCGGATGCGCGGCCATTTTTTGAAGACAGAGACAGAGACCGGCCTCACAGAGGCGGATGTGGCGCGGGCGCTTGAACTCATTGCCTCCTTCCCAACTCCAGAGGTGGCGGCACAAGCGGCGGCAGCCGCGCTCGTTGACCCCGCCCTGAAGGACGACGAAATCGATATTTTGGAGTCCCGCTGCCGCGAGTTGTCAGGGACTGTGAGTGAGCTGCAAGAGTCCCTGCGACAGTCGCGGCAGGCGCTCGAGGCACTGCAGTCGCAGCGCCTCGAGTGGGAGCGTGAACGCAAGGAAATGGCGCGTCGCTTTGAGGACGTTAGCTTTCGTCTGGCGAGGTACGACTTCGCCAAAAAAAACGAGGCACTCCGGACGGCACTGGCGGCTCTCGAGAGCAAAACCGGGAAGGAACGGCACGCGTTGGAGAGCCGCATCAAAGTCCTTGTGGATCTTCTGCGCGCCAAAAAGGCGCTGGAGAAGACCGCACGGAAGCGGCAGAAAAGACCGCAATGACGGCCACGCGCGGGCGGAGAAAAGCGGCCGCGCCGCCGCAGTCACCATACCCAAGTGGTTAAGGGGACTGACTAGAAATCAGTTGCGATCTCGCGCGCAGGTTCGAACCCTGCTGGTGACGTTTTCCCTACAATTTTAATACGGCTCTTGTTG